ATATATATATATATATATAATATATATATATATATATAACTATATATATATATTATAATATATATATATATATATATATATATATATATATATATAAAATTATATATATATATATATTATATGAAACATCAACGGTTTATAGACTGGCCTATGCCACGATGTCAAATGGCATCGCGTCCTCAATACGTCTGGCGATCTTTCTACATGAGCACTTACCTGAACTTTCAAATAAGGTGGCCCAACTTCGGTCGTTCTCGAAACTCAAACCGAAAGAACCAATTGGGAATCGTTGGAATCCAGAACATCAACTGGCATGGTATCAGATGAAGGAGGCAATAGTGTCTGCAGCCTGTTTGAATTTTCCGATTGATAGGGTCCCACTCGAGTTGGAGACTTATGCCAGTGACTATTGTATTGGCGGAGCGCTATTTCAGTTGATTGACGGCCGAAAGACATCAGACATGCGCAACACCTATGAAGGAACTGTTAGCGCGTACGTATGCATTTCTATGATCATATGATCGACCAGCGCTTTACTGTGCACACGGGCCACAAGGGGCTCATATACATGAACACCCTACTAAAATTGAATAGTATGCTGCAACGATGGCACCATATCATTGCGCAATTCAACTTTGTTATATCACATGTACCGAGAGAACAAAAAAAAATACCAGACATGTGGAGCCGGGTTCATGAGGGTACAGCGGATATCAATTTTCCGACCGTATTTATGTATCGTGCTGGGAGCTTCATCTCAATTTCTTCAACCAGGTTCAAAAATAGTTTGAGCCTAACGACGTTGACGCCTTTGAATCGAGCAATAATGCTCAATTACGACAATACTGGCAAATGACTGGAGCAAATACAATGCATGGATGAACCCACCGTGGCGTCTTATTCATAGGGTACTGCGTAAGATGTTGGAAGACAAGGCGTCCACAACAGTGTGTCTATCATTCAAAAAAATACACAGGCGCCATGGTTCCCTCTGCTTCTGTCGATGACGCAAGTGAACCCAGTACTTATCCCGCGAACAGCCCATAAGTTCTTGAAGCATGGCATGCAGGCATGTGGTAAGCATCCATGGGAACATACGGTGGTTGTATGCATTGGCCCTCCGTCGGGCTACAAAGTCACTCCGTCGTTTTGATGTGACCTGGGTCTCGAAGTACGTGTATGTGAGGAAGCTAGTAATTGTTATCAAGAAACCTGGGCGCAGCCTACAATGACCAGACGTACACGACAGATTGCGGAACAAGTTCCTGAGATGTGTGTGGGAGCAACAGTGATCAATCATCCTGAACATGAAGAAGCTTATCGTCGGGTGCAGCTCACTTGGCTGTTTTCACGAACAAAGACACACTACTCCAGCGGTCACATTGCAACAGATGCGGGACGATGGGCATAATCAAGAGGCGGTTCCGATCATTCCTACACAAGCTACCACTGCTAAATCATAACTGACTCGAAGGCAGTCACAATCCTGTCCTTATCAGCATGACTCCTATTATAGCGCATACTAAGCGTCGTCCTTCTCCTTTTAAATTGGACGCTCGTTAGGAGCGTGTCATGGGTGATATTCGCCGAACAAATTTACAACAACGCCCTGAAACCTGTACTTGGCGCTGGTCTTGTACCGGATTGCCATGGGCCGTCTTGTCATGTATATGCTCAAGCCTTCTCCTTTCTCTGCACGAACACATTGGGGTGGTCCTGCTGTGGTTCGTGAGCTCTCCCCATCAGTTGTGCATGTGGTGCAGGATTGCAACACTGACAAGTTTTATCGTTTACATCGCTCTAAGCTTAAGGCTTATTCTCAACCTGTAAGAATCTCTACAACGAAGGCCCGGGGTACCCGTGCCAACTCTGTATATACTAACTGGTTGTTCTATACCAGCCCTTTTCGTAATACACCCGACTCAGAGAAAGCCAAATTGACTGCTGCTTTCAAAGATTGGCCTGCCGCCATCTTGTTCGAGTACAAACCCAATGTTGCTTTGAAGCGTTATTTCTTCCTCTGTGATGCTCAGCAATATTCCTATACCCATATTCAATTCTCCCCCGCTAATACCGATACGACACGCCCCTGCTCTGCAGTTTACCACTTTTGAATCTGGCATCACCTGTGCTTATCGTCTTGCTACTAACCCTGAGTACCGTGCTTCCCAACTGCTTGACTGGCATACTAAGTTCCTAGCCTCTCAACCATTGCCGTAATTATTTTTTCCTTCTGCTGTTTTTATCTCACGTGCTTAAAATACGTTCCTGCAGCGTATGGGGGGTTGTGAACCCCGCGGGCTTTCAAACTGCGACACGAAAGCAAAACCGTTGCCAACTTGTTCACACAAAAGTAAAACAATCATAGAGCCATCTGCTATTTCTGCCCGCCAAAAGACTGAACACCAACCGAAATGTGATAGCCCGAGGAACGTATAAATACGCTGGGTACTCAGTGGGTATTCAGTGAAGTCGCAGACTTGCGGTCGCAGCTCACTTTAATATTGTGAATCTTAGCGACCTACCCCCCTTTTTATATATAATTAACTAAATAAACATCTGGCTTACTGTTGTTCTACTTTCGTGCCGAACCCCGGTGGCCTTACATCATACATACATTAAATTCTTTAAATATACAGGTAAATACCATAAACATTTACCTTTTATCGATGCGATAAATAACCTGTTTTAAAACCACAAAATGAGAATCGTGATAAGACCATCTGCTGTTTTCCGCCCGCCAAAAGACTGAACATCAACCGAAAAGAGATAGCCCGGTGAACATATAAATACGCTGGGTAGTGAAGTCTCAGACTCGCAGTCGCCGACTTGCACTCTCAGTTTTGGGCTACACCCAGATTTTAGAATAACAAACATAATTTATATAGGTAACTCAAGTTTACAAAAACTAATTCGCATTTACACACAAACAGAGAGCATACTTTTATTATTATATATATTTGACACCGAAAGAAAATAGAGACACTTCTTCAGAAATAAGATTTATACTGTCTTTTAGGCTATGGGCCAATTTCAGACAAACATCAGTTCACCATGAACGACTACACCATAGCTACGTAGTACATCGCAGCCGTTGAACCCAACTATCCAATATCGGCGATAGTCATGACGATTGGCTTGGCGACCTTCGTGTCGCAGCTTCCACAGCCAAAGAGAAGGCTCTTCCAGTTCTCGAACACGTCCAGGAAAGCCAGCCCATTACTCCGCCTGTTCAGACCCCCATCGTGTACCTCCCCACCCAGGTACATTTCCGCACGACGCACTTTCGTACCACATCCACTGTGTAATAAGCCGGGTCTCCATATTAGACTCTATGCATAAAACTCTTAATAGTACGAGGAACTTAAGTTTCCTAAATGTGCTTTTAATAGCACGAGGAACTTAAGTTTCCTAAAATGGGATTTATTGGTTTTTTTAATTAAACCTTTTCCATTTAACATATCAGATATTTGGATGAGGCCATTAAAAGGCCTCAGTAAAATACCAAACATAAAAAAGAGTTGGTCTAGTTCTATTATTAATAGAGCTTTCTTTACTTTCCAATTTTATTTATATCTGAATACTTTGGTAGCGGTATGGCTCAACCGAATATAGGTTTCTAGGGACTATTAACGTTACATAGTAGATCCTTTGATAAGCCAACCAGATGTGCCAGTCTGATGAAGGCTAAGTCGGTAATTCTTGATAGTGGCAAGTTATTGGTTAAGACAATAACTAAAGACGTCAAGAGTAATAAAAAAAACTCTAAAGATAGGATTTTATGAGTCTATCGGATTCGCCCCAGAATAGAGCGACACCGAAACACTAAATAAAATCCCTTCGGCGGAAACAGTACTGAGAGGATTATATATAGGCAATGTCTCAGCCTCACAATTCCTCAGAGTATTGCTGTTTTCACGAGGCAAACCTAACTTTATTAAATGTCTCATTTCGTTTATTTATATCGATATTTACACGATATATAGAATTTACTTACGCGTTTATTTATTCTAAAGCATTATTATCGCCTTTATTAGACCGAATCTTACAACTGAAGATTGTACCTATTCTCGTGCTCATCAAATTCTATCTGACTCTTTATCCAATGACCTCCGTCGTTCTCTTGACCCCGATGAACTTATATCCGACCCCTAGACACTCCTTCAAATTCTTCGGAAAATGTTTTTATGAATCGACTCCTGTCGCCCTTCCAATCAATCTTGCATACTTGGGAGATTTTTAATTTTCATGATGACGAGAATATGCGTTCTTGGGCTAACCGGTGCATCAAGCTGAAACACACTGCCGCACGCCAAGGCAACATTCTATCTTCTGTTTTCATTCAAGACGCTTTTCTCTCCGGCGTCGACCAAGCTGCTCAGGATCAAGCACGTCAGTTTTCAATCAGTTTTCAGCTACAAAATAATTGTACCATTATCTCTTTCCTTCATATCTGTGACTAGATATAGACATGGCAGCAAACCGACCCCGCCTCCGCAGCTGGACCCAAATCTGCCTCTTTCGTTTGTCGTCCTCTACGTACTAAGTCATCGTCCGCCTCGTATTATGATCTCTTGAGACTGACTTAACACTCTTGAACTTATCGCTGCGAAGACTCGTCCGGTCCCTCGTGATCGTCCCACTCTTCGCGATCGTACCACTGCCCCATGTGATTACCCACCTTGCTTCGTTTGCTAGAAGATCGATTTTCACTAGTGACTGCCCCTCTGGATGTGGTAGATGTGGCAGCCCATCCCATCACAATGCCACTTGCCGCTAACATGCACACTATGCAACATTAAGGGCCACTCTTCGAAGGTTTGTTCCAAGCGTATTGCAAATAGATCTACTACCAATTATTCTGCCGCGATTGCCCTAATTTCTTTGACAACAAATTCCTCTAAATCAACCACCGCCAATGCACCCCTTCTCATTGATGGGGGCGCTACCGTCAATTATCTTCATTATACGGCCCGACATTTACTCAAAGATATTGAACGTGGCCGATTTATTTTACTCCTCGCTGATGATATCGTAACTCACGTCACTGAACGTGGTTTTCTTTCCGGCCCCGGACACACATATCTAAGCCCTTCGCTATGTAAGATTCGGTCTATCGAGGCGATATTAGCGCCTTAGAGTAATTAAACTCGTAGGTAAAATCTAAGTATCGTAATATTCTAAGTAAATAAACGAAAGTCTTTTAGTAAAGTTTGGTATGCCTCGTGAAAACAGCAATACTCTGAGGGATTGTGAGGCTGAGACATTGCCTATATATAATCCTCTCAGTACTGTTTTCGCCGAAGGGATTTTATTTAGTGTTTCGTTGTCGCTCTAATAGAAACTATGGTACGTTTCGTGGGGACGAATCCGAGAGACTCATACAATCCTATCTTTAGAAAAAAAGAAAGAAAGAAAAAAGAAAAATACTCTTGATGTCCTTAGTTATTGCAGTAACCAATAACTTGCCACTTATCAAGAATTACCTACTTAGCCTTCATCAGACTGACACATCTGGTTGGCTGAACGGAGGATGAACTAAGCAACACTAATAGTCCTTAGAAACCTGTGTTCGGTTAAGCCATCTCGCTACCGAAGTATTCAGATATAAATAAATTTGGAAAGTAAATGTAGTTCTATTAATAGAACTAGACCAAATCTTATGTTTGGTATTTTGCTGGGGCCTTTTAATGGCCTTGTCCAAATATCTGATATGTAAAAATGGAAAAGGTATTAATTAATAAAACCGTTAAACCCCATTAAGGAAACTTAAGTTCCTCGTACTATTAAGAGTACGTTTCTAGTTTACGTTCTGCTTAAGAGTACGTTTATAACATAGTGTATAATGTGGAGGCCCGGCTATTACAACTATCACAGCAAATCGTGTCAGAAAATAGGCTTCAAGATAACGGTTACCAATTAGAATTTTCCAACAATCAGCGGATCTGGAACATCCACCACGCGACATCCACGATCACTATTCCACGAACAAAGGGAGGGTATACAATTACTTATGCCAGACTTAAATCCCTCGCCGCATTCTCACTGACCACCCGATTACTCCATAATATAGCAACACTTTCCTCGCAACCTGACCCAGACGTCGACTCAGTTGACTCTGACACAGATACACTTACTGACGACGACATGCCCGGCATTCTCTTTGACAAGGATGAATCCTCTGACGAGGACTCCCCGGAGTCACACATTACTCCATTACTCCCTCTCTCCCCCCCCCACCCCCCCCCCCCATCCCACCAATCAATCACAATCGCAAAACCACCCTCCCAATGGCCCGAAAAAACAATGTCACTCTCACGCACCCTCCTCCTACTGGTGTCACCACCGAGGATTGGATGCTCGACAAAGCAGATTGGTCATCCGCCATGACACATTTTAATTTCACACCCACAATTGACATTTGCGCTTCCCGCACTAACTCACAATTACCACGGTTGCTGGCCCGGAAGGGGGTGAAGTGAATTACTTCGGGAGAGCTAACTTCATCACTGAACGATGCTACGGAAACCCACATTGGACCGACATTAACGACCTCGTACGACTCAATATTTCAACTGGCTCCACAATTGCTATTTATGTCCCACTACGGCCTTGTGCCAAGTGGTGGCCATTATTCCTCTCTCGACTTCAAACACAACCCTACATCATACACAACAATGAAACAACTTTCCTATGACATGGGACAACTGTAGTTGGCCGTATGCATTAAGGGCAAATTCAATCGTAAATCAGTACACCACGCAACCTCCGACTCTATATACGGACCGGCAGAACAATTCAATATCGACTTACAGGGGCCCATACCCGCTGATCGCTATGGTAACAAGTATGCACTGAATTTAATCTGCGACGGTACAAAATATGGCAATCACAGTGTTTTACACATTAAGCGCAATATCACAAATGACGTTAAAGCACTCTCAGTACAAATACCTAGTCACTATAGACCACGTCAGTTTATTGCTGACGGCGACAGCGTTTTTCAAAGTGATGCGACGCGCTTCATGCTTCTGGAACGTGGCATGGCCCTCAACCGTACACCTGCCCACACTCCGCAACTCAACGGAAAAGTTGAGGGGGGGCACGACACCCTCAATCAACTTATGCGCACCTTTCTACTTGATTCCAGACAGCCTCTCTCACTTTGCAGCCGCGTCAAGGCAATTGCAGACCTCGTCCGCTATGAGAACCTGGTTGCAAACGACCACCTGCATTTCCTCTCGGACAAATGGCATCAAACTACTGTCCCAAACTGTCCCGCGATTCCCACACGCCAGATATGGCTGTATCGGGGTTTTAAAAATTGGGGGAGCTCCACTTAAGAAGAAACATAAGTATGAACCCCAAATTGGCCACGGTGTATTTCTGGGTCGAGTCCTTCACTGTACACCTGACACGTGGCTGATACATAACTTCGCTACACAACGTCTTCTCAACTCCAGAAACGCGCAATTTCTCTCTGACCACCTTTCTCAGTGAGATCCCATTGGTAAAAAGGTTCGACTGGGTACTGAACCCACGGGCTACGACATCCCTGTGGAATGGTACCGCCTCCCCTCCAATATTACAACCCCACTTCTTTATGTTCCGCACCTGCCCCCGCCTGTGTGCACACCGCCTCCCAACAATTTCATCCTCTCGCCCACCACAGGAGCCCCCACTTCTTACCATCTTTCAGGCCACTCGACCACCAACAGCTGAGCCTTGTAATATACCCCTTGCGCGAGCTACGCCCACACCCTCTCACGCCTCCACCCTTGCCCACAAGCATAACGAATACGGAGTTCTCATTATTTTCAAGGCACGAATGGTTGCCAGGGGCGATCAACAGATAGAAGGTGACTCGTTTCTCGACACCTATGCCCCTGCAGCCACATTAACTACACTCCGGACCTTCCTCGCACACGCATCATTTCACGATTTATATGTATTCCACTATGACATCAACGCCGCCTACCTCAATTAATACCTTGACACTGCCGTATACACGTATCCCTCAAATGGCGCTGTCGAACTCAGATTCTATCCACGGAATAGAATTCTTAAACTAAGGCGTGGACTGTATGGCCTTAAACAGACCGGCCGTTTATGGAATCAAGATATCGCAAAACATTTTAAGTCTATTGGATTTAAACAAAGCGACGCAGACGAGAGTATCTGGTTTCATCACATTCATCGCATTATTGTCGTGCTTTGCGTCGACGAAATTGTTCCCGCTGTCAAACGGGACTCAGACAAAGAACAATGACTATTTCAACAACTCTCTCAATTCATTCTATCAAAACTTTGGGACATGTTTGACACCTAGTAGGTTTACGTATCAGACAACGCGCTGACCGCATTGAAATCGATCAACTGATTGGGCCCGCGACTATGCCAAGGAGAATACACTAATTTTTTGGAGCGGCATTGGCTTACCTGGAGCGGCATTGGCTTACCTGGAGCGGCATTGGCTTACCTGGTGCGGCATTGGCTTACCCCCATCCTCGCTTCTCGACCGGATTATGACGGATAATCTGGTCCTTCTCGGTATTTCGTACTCTGCACTAAACCATTCCGCGGCACTACACGGCGCAGACCCGATCCGTACCAAAGAGGTGGGTACTCTACTTAGTAGGTCAGCAAGCGAATATATGGAACATTCGATAGTAACAGTGTTTTGTCAACACCGGCCCGAATTGACTCAGCACATATCTTCCATTGCCGACTCACTTGGCCCAAGCTTCAAACGGGAATTTACTGACCACTTCTTCCCATCAATCTTTCCTGAACCACTACAGCGACTATGAGAGCCATACCATATGTTCATACAATGTATCATACATACTTGCCATTTTTGAAATAAATAGTATTATCGCTATGCCAACCGTCGATCACAAACTAGTTCTATCGTCTGCTTTAACAATGCGTCTATTTACTGGAAAAGCGCTAAGCAAAAGACAGTGGCTATAAGTTCTATCGAAGCGGAATATATTGCTGCTTCTGGAATTGTTAGACATATAGCATGGACTCGTACATCTTTCATGCTACGGGCTACACACTTACTCTCCCTACACTACTACATTGTGGCAACCGAAGTGCTATCAGAGTGGCACAAGGTACTTGTGTAATAAGCCAGGCCTCCACATTAGACTCTATGTATAAACGTACTCTTAAGCAGTACGCAAATTATAAACGTACTCTTAATAGTACGAGGATCTTAAGTTTCCTAAATGTACGCTTAATAGTACGAGGAACTTAAGTCTCCTAAATGTGCTCTTAATAGCACGAGGAACTTAAGTTTCCTAAAATGGGATTTAATGGTTTTTTAATTAAACCTTTTCCATTTAACATATCAGATATTTGGATGAGGCCATTAAAAGGCCTCAGTAAAGTACCAAACATAAAAGAGTTGGACTAGTTCTATTAATAGAGCTTTATTTACTTTCCAATTTTATTTATATCTGAATACTTTGGTAGCGATATGGCTCAACCGAATATAGGTTTCTAGGGACTATTAACGTTACATAGTAGATCCTCTGATAAGCCAACCAGATGTGCCAGTCTGATGAAGGCTAAGTCGGTAATTCTTGATAGTGGCAAGTTATTGGTTAAGACAATAACTAAAGACGTCAAGAGTTTTTTTTTTAGGGTTTAGGGGTTTTTGACAACGAAACACTAAAAAAAATCCCTTCGGCGAAAACAGTACTGAGAGGATTATATATAGGCAATGTCTCAGCCTCACAATTCCTCAGAGTATTGCTGTTTTCACGAGGCAAACTT